TTAATGTAGGATGAGAGGCGAGTTTTATTGGTAGGAAGTCAGGTTGGGATGTATGGATAGCCAGGAAGGGCAGCCCTCCTCACCCCACCTCACCCACACATAATGTAAACAAACCAGGTGAATGCATGTGGTTTTCGTCACTTTACATTGTGCACAAGTTGTCTCCACGTTGATACAGTAGAATAAATAAAGAGAAACATTCTCATTCTCATGTAACACCATTTTTAGAAGAAATGACACCCTGAGTGAAGGCATACTTAGGTACAGGTACACATACGCATAATTATCAGTTAAAATAATAATGTAGGTATGTAGTCCACCTGGGCTACATATCTATAACTACCTACATAGCTACACAATATTTAATGTGGCCCAGAGCTATATTATTACCACTGACATATGTTCACTGAGTTTAATTGTTTCTAATAACTACCTTTAGATGCCATCAAAAACAAAAGGAGAAGTAATGAACAATTCATGCTGAGAATTGTAAAACAAAAGGATTATGTATTAAGAGGAGTGACATAATGTTTTCCCTCTGTCCGGCTACCACACCTCCATAGTATATAAACATAAAATGTTTATATGCTATGTAATATGTTTCTTATATAACTTTGAAGAAAATATCATAGATGGATTAATGAAAATGTCTATATTAACGTAAAATAAGACATTTAATATGCCCAAGAGTGATTATTATTAGTATCGTAATGTTTTCCCTTCGCCTGGCAACCACACCTCCATAGCATATAAATAGGCAACAGTTAGGCAACTTTATTCCGAAACGTTTCGCCTACACAGTAGGCTTCTTCAGTCGAATACAGAAAGTAGGCAGGAACAGTAGAGATGTGAAGACGATGTAATCAGTCCATCACCCTTGAAGTCGTAGAATTTGAGGTTGTCAGTCCCTCGGCCTGGAGAAGTTCAGCTCCATAGTCAGGAACTATCTGATAGTTCCTGACTATGGAACTGAACTTCTCCAGGCCGAGGGACTGACAACCTCAAATTCTACGACTTCAAGGGTGATGGACTGATTACATCGTCTTCACATCTCTACTGTTCCTGCCTACTTTCTGTATTTGACTGAAGAAGCCTACTGTGTAGGCGAAACGTTTCGGAATAAAGTTGCCTAACTGTTGCCTATGTGTCTTTCCTACCAACCTGTCGGTATTGTATACCATTTTGATGTTCAGCATATAAATAGCATGTTTATATGCTATGTAACATGTTTCTTATATAATTTTGAAGAAAATATCATAGATGGATTAATGAAAAAGTTTATATTGACATAAAATTAAACATTTAATGTGCCCAGGAGTGATTATTATTACATAATAGAGAGATGTGCTCATGGAGAATGTAAATAAACTGGGTGGTACACGTCGTATTTGAAAGATTGCTTGCCGTACACAAAGTTTTGGTCATAATTTGAGAATGCTGTATTAGTGGAACGCCATAAGGCGAAATGCCAAAAAGCGGGGCCCTACTGTATTTGTTAAAGTACGTATTTGCTTCATACTGCTTGTAAATGACAGAAATATATCACCTTAATTTTGTAAACCAATAAGAACATGTTTTGTTACATGCTGAATACAATTTCATAATTTCCTGTTACATATAAATTTCTGTAAAACTAGGATGACAAAATTTTTTAATATTATATTTTAAGCAAAATATATCTGCATAGTTTCATAACAACATATACAGTGCTAGTCAAGTAATTTTAGGACTGGCTTGCCAGGGGTCTGAGTCCATTCACTGAGTTCTGTAAGCTGCCAGTGGCAGTAACTAATTGACACAGTTACAAAACTTAAAATGCTAATGCTAACTGAATTAGCACAACTTGTTAATATTCTATTTGGCACTAACAATAAAAAAAAGATATACCAAGAATGACAAATCCTTTGTTAGTCATAAACTTTAAGAAAGTCAGTGTGTACACTTACCCAAATCTTTGTCGCATATCTTGCCACCCCAGCCCTTTGGACATTTGCACTGAAAGTCATTCATGAGGTCTGTGCATTGTCCTCTTATACATGGGTTGGGAAAACACTCATCAATTTCTGCATGACAAAGTTTGCCTGAAGAAATACATATATGGTTATATGATATGGCAGACTTCCAGTGAACAAAAATTAGTTACACCATTAAAACTTGAAAATACCTTCTTTTTTTTTCAGAAACAGGACCAACAAAAATTTAATCATTAGCAGGTATTAATTTTTTAAAGAATATAATTTTTTGATCACACTGGTAGTCTCCCATCAAGGTAGGGTATCTCCCATCAATGTAGGGTATCTCCCATCAAGGTAGGGTATTTCCCATCAAGGTAGGGTATTTCCCATCAAGGTAGGGTATCTTCCATCAAGGTTGGGTAACCCAAATTTACTTATTTTAAAAAATCCTACATACTATGAAGTATGGGTGGGGATGCTGCAGTTCAAAAAGTCATTTGAACTGTAATGTAATCATATGTCTGGCCTGACAGCTATTGAATGAATAATGATCAATGTGTGTGAGCTTCTTTTGGTCATATGACAGTCAATATTAGAGCGCAGAATAATTATGAAAAGATATAGTCCAGCAGCCAAGGGAGTGAACCTAGAATTATTGGCAGTCTAGTTTATTTTTAGCAGATTTATTTTCCTCAGGAATCCCTAATATCAAATCTTATGAATATCACCATGGCATCATTGAGCATTCTGCAGAATTCACTGAAATCTAGGACAGCCACCATAAAAAATGAGTATACTGCACAGTACAGGAGGGCCATGCTTTATAGCACTTCGCTTTACAGTGTTTCACTAATACAACAGTTTTCGATTATACCCATTCTTCACATATGACAGGAGTCATCCCACACACACTAAAAACAACAGACATAGCCCCACTCCACAATGGTGGCAGTAAAGCAATTGCAAAGAACTACAGACCAATAGCACTAACATACTACATCATAAAAATCTTTGAAATCGTTCTAAGAAGCAGGATAGCCAACCACCTAGATACCCATCAGTTACACAGGGCAACACGGGTTTACAGCAGGTTGCTCCTGCCTGTCCCAGCTACTGGACCACTATGACAAGGTCCTGGATGCTGTAGAGGATAAACAAAATACAGATGTAGTATACACAGACTTTGCAAAAGCTTTCGACAACTGTGACCATGGTGTAATAGCACACAAAATGCATGATAAAGGAAAAATGGGAAAAGTTGGTAGATGGATCTACAACGTTCTGACAAATAGAACACAAAGAGTAATAGTAAACAGAGTAAAGCCCCAGGCAGCCACAGTAAAAAGCTCTGTTCCACAAGGCACAGTACTCACTCCCATTCTATTCCTCAATCTCATTTTTGACATAGACAGAGATGTAAGCCATAGCTCCATGTCTTCCTTTGTGGATGACACCTGGATTACCATGGCAGTGACCTCCGTCAAAGACACAGTGAGACTCCAAGTGAACATAAACCAGATCTTCGAATGGGCCACTCAAAACAATATGAAGTTCAACAAGGAGAAATTTCAACTACTCAGATATGGAAAACTTGAAGAAATTAAAAATGTGTCAGGGTATACTACAAATTCTAACCATACGATAGAGTGGAAAAGTAATGTGAAGGACCTGGGAGTGATAATGTCAGAGGATCTTGCCTTCAAAGACCACAACAATGTATCTACCTTATCTGCTAGGAAAATGATAGGATAGATAATGAGAACCTTCAAAACTAGGGATGCCAAGCCCATGATGATTCTCTTCAAATCGCTTGTGCTCTCTAGGCTGGAATACTGCTGTACACTAATGGCCCCCTTCAAGGCTGGTGACACTGCAGACCTGGAGAGTGTACAAAGAACTTTCATGGCACACATAAGTACAATAAGGCACCTAAACTACTGAGAACGGTTGAAGGCCCTTGATCTGTATTCCCTCGAATGCAGGCGAGAGAGATACATGATAATATACACTTGGAAGGTCCTGGAGGGATTGGTACCAAACCTGCACATGAAAATCACTCCCTATGAAAGCAAAAGACTCAGCAGGAGATGCAACATTCCCCCGATGAAAAGCAGGGGCGCCACGAGTACACCAAGAGACAACGCAATAAGTGTCCGGGGCCCAAGACTGTTTAATTGCCTCCCAGCATACATAAGGGGGATTACCAACTGACCCATGCCTGTCTTCAAGAAGGCATTGGACAGGCACCTAAAGTCAGTACCTGACCAACTGGGCTGTGGTTCGTATGTCAGCTTGCATGCGGCCAGCAGTAACATCCTGGTTGATCAGACACTGATCCACCATGAGGCCTGGTCTCAGACCGGGGCACGGGGGCATTGACCCCTGAAACCCTCTCCAGGTAAACTCCAGGTGAACCACTTATTATAAGCTAACGACGAAAATATTTTAAGCTAAATAATGTGTGTACTGTACATATTATTAATTTTTTAAGCCTAGCTCTATTGATCACTTAATATATGATAGTTTAAATATGTTATCAGGCTTTTATATACATTTGAAAGTGAAAAAAGACTATGTTTCTTTATATAGCAATTTTTGCTTTACAGCAGTAGCCTGGAACCTAACCTGCTGTATAAGCTGGGCCTGCCTGTATAATGTTTTGACCATAAATTCGCTCCTAGTATGAATTTTTAGATAGTTTAAATGTTTAGACCTATGTTTTCCCATCAGAGAATTCATTTTTTCCACTGCATATTCATCACAAAGATTTATAATGTTGCTATAAAAATGAACAATTGTTAAAAATTTGTTACAATGAATAACAAAATATATGTTAAGACATATGTTGTAAAAATGATACATCACATATAATTTTCTGAAATAATAATAATAGTGCCTGCACTCTATAGGAGGGGTTTGAGACATTTGTTGTTTGGAGTGATATCTAAGGTGTCATGTCTGCCTGCTTCTGGTAAAACAGTGATAGTGTGTATGATGGTAAAAGTGTTTCTTTTTTGAGTCACCCTGCCTTGATGGGAGATGGCCAGCATGTTAATAATAATAATAATAATAATAATAATAATAATAATAATAATAATAATAATAATACTACTACTACTACTACTACTACTACTACTACTACTACGACTACTACGACTACTACGACTACTACGACTACTACGACTACTACGACTACTACGACTACTACGACTACTACGACTACTACGACTACTTTATTTCTGAAAAACCTACAAAGACAAACAAAATACAGATGTAGTATACACAGATTTTGCAAAAAACTTTAACAAATGTGACCATGGTGTAATAGCGCACAAAATGCGTTATAAAGAAATAACAGGAAAAGTTGGTAGATGGATCTACCATGCAAGTTATACTTGCATAGTAGATCAAACTGAACACATATTATTCTGTTAAATATTTTTCCAGTAGTCTTTTCATGAGCTAGTCCAAAAAATCACCGGCTGGGTATGTCCAAAATAAGTGATCCCCTAATCCGGATCCATCTGGATTCGCCCAGATTCATCCAAAAAATAAGTGAACCAATGACCGGATTCAAACAGATTCGTAGAAAACAAGATATCCCCTGATTGGATTCTTAAGCTGACAGTGTTTTTACGTGCCCTCATCAAACACCCAAACAGTAACTACAACAAATAGATACAATACAAACAGACAGATCTACTTTTAAGGTGGTTATTAGTAAAAATTAAATATACAGTGATCCACTAACCGGATTCGTCCAAGAAATAAGTTAACAAAGAACTGGATTCACACAGATTCGTTAGAATAAATAAAACAGATACAAGACAAATAAACAGACCTCCACTTTAAGGAAGATATTAGTAGAATATACCTGGAGAGAGTTTCGGGGGTCAATGCCCCCACGGCCCGGTCTGTGACCAGGCCTCCTGGTGGATCAGAGCCTGATCAACCAGGCTGTTACTGCTGGCTGCACGCAAACCAACGTACGAGCCACAGCCCAGCTGGTCAGGAACCGACTGTAGGTGCTTGTCCAGTGCCAGCTTGAAGACTGCCAGGGGTCTGTTGGTAATCCCCCTTATGTATGCTGGGAGGCAGTTGAACAGTCTTGGGCCCCTGACACTTATTGTATGGTCTCTTAACGTGCTAGTGACACCCCTGCTTTTCATTGGGGGGGATGTTGCATTGTCTGCCAAGTCTTTTGCTTTCGTAGTGAGTGATTTTCGTGTGCAAGTTTGGTACTAGTCCCTCTAGGATTTTCCAGGTGTATATAATCATGTATCTCTCCCGCCTGCGTTCCAGGGAATACAGGTTCAGGAACCTCAAGCGCTCCCAGTAATTGAGGTGTTTTATCTCCGTTATGCGTGCTGTGAAGGTTCTCTATACATTCTGTAGTCTGCAGCCAAACAAACAAACAGGCTACTGCATGGATTATATGCAATTTCTGTGGAAAATGGACCCACGCCCCTTGTGTAGGTATTCAGAAATCATCTACAACAGATATTAAACCATGGAAGTGTTTTTGGGTATGCCTAAATGAGACCAAACTGTGGAATAAAATCACACTGATAATGAAAGATGATAACATCAAAACAGCCTTCATAAAAAACATGACAGCATTCTATAACAGTTGGGAAAATAAGAAATCTGGGCCAGATGATGCTATTGCCCCTGGTACAAATGCTGTCCTGATAGACAGTAACTGTAAGAATAGAGAAATAAACTAGGGTGCCTGGAAGGGGACAGGAAGCTCTAGTGGGCAAACAGGCGTGGACAAGGACATGCAAAAACCAATGTTACAAAGTAGCAATACGACAAGAGATAGTAAACAAGGGGATGCCCCAAGAAATAGTGAAGATAAATTACAAGAAATAACTGATGAGGGATCCATTGTTAGCATTAGTGCTCAAGATAGAAATGAGACAGGAGAACACACACCAGTAGAGAATACAGTCACAAAAAACCAAGGCAAACAGAAACCAGGTTTATGCAAATACAGTGGTACCTCGGGATACGAACTTATTTCATTCCAGAAGGCTGTTTAAGTGCCAATACCGAACGAATTTGTTCCCATAAGGAATAATGTAAATTAGATTAATCTGTTTTTGACCCCCAAAAATACACTT